TAGAAGGACAACGCATTCAATAAGCAACAGAATCACTTTGTAGCTCACATTCACTGCTTCGATCGGAATGCTCCTACTTCGACATGACTGTTTACCGATTAACGACTAGGATTTAAATTACGAGTGCTTGGTCCTAAGATTTATAAATTCGCACGGAGTGGCATTTTTAAAAAACATATGGCTTTCGCAAAAATCGATCCGCAGGAGGCAGAGCCTTCAAGTTTGCTTGAAAAGGAAAAGGGTGCTCAGGTGTTCATGGGCGATGAAAGCGTGTCCAAAAGTTTCGATAATCTCGAGCATTGGCGTAACGTGGACTGTGTAGTGCTCATATGTAGCTGCATGCACGGCAAGTTGCTATGAAGATAAACGAGATTTGTCCGTCAATTAAGTCCTTTGAGAGGCTAAAAAGGCTTTCGTAGCGTTATTCTTAAATTGCCTTGCACGACACACTGCTGCGACTCGGTCATCATTTAATCGCACTGCTCCTCTTTGCAACAATCTACCAGCAGTAGTCTTTCCGCCTGATGTGTAAATCCTGGAAAAAGTATAAAACCACTATTGAGATTTACGTTCAAATTTAATTCTAATCACTTTCAAAAATTATGTTAATCGCTTTAGTTACATGATGATGTACATGATGCAGTCGAGTGCAGCACTCCGTAAGTGCTAATATGATATCAATAATTAATGACAGCAGCGTCATCTTTGAATAAACAAAATTTGAGGGTCTACAGGCTTATCATTAGAGTTCATTTCGCTTTTAGAATAATTTACTTTTCGCGTGGATTGTCCTTCCTTACCCACTTAATAGCGTAGGACTAGAATTGAAGCGAAATAATACTGATCTCAACTTTAAAGCATGGAATGAGCAAATCGATCTAAAGCTTGCCTAGTTGCGTAATGCCGAAGAAAATCAATATCGATTTTCTCTTTAATTTTTCCCAAGTATTTGGTCCGGTTTGCTAATGTATTGAGTTTGCGTGAGAAAGAAAGGGACATATATATATATATATATAGCACTTATGATTACTAAGCGGCCGTTTGATTTCAAATTTAAGATCATAGTTAATTAATCATGAAAAAAGTACGTTTTTTATTTGTCTCCCGACTTATTACATCCATGTAGACATCGTTCATTGTCGCGGTGTAAAGTCAAGTTCAATAAGTTGAATAAGACTAGAAATTGGAACAAGGTGCACTATCCACACCATTTTATCCATTGCTTCACACGTTGCAATGCTAGCATAGGCATAGGTAAACTGATGAACTTGGAATGTTTTATGTCACTTTAATCGTATACGTATTAGATTAAGGTTTTAACTAAATTTTAAAGAGTTATGCTCTTTTACAAATACGAAAAATGATTCAAAGTGAAGAGAATAGAAAAAATATTTCATTAGTTTCTACTTTCCCAGCTTATATCATCTACAAATGTTCATATGCATGCTTGGGATATATTTTTATACAAAATACCGTTACTCAAAAAAAAAAAAATAAATAAAAGGAAAGAACTGAACTGTCACCTAATCTAAGCTAAACAGTGAAAAGTATTTCTTCGGTTTCATGTTACATTAGCAAAAATCGAAAAAAAAAAAAAGAAAAGAAAAACTGCCGCCAAAGGTATCTATCTATCTATAAAAACTAGTGACCACTAATGGTTAAACCAACAATATAAGGAGACATTCTCATCACAAAATCACATACTAACGACTTATGATTGAGACATAATTATGACTTTGACATTTTTCATTTATTGTTGTTGCTGTTGTTGTAGTAAATTTTAAAATTTTACTTTTAAATGAAACCGACTTTTTTCAACAACAACAACAACAACAACAAGAACAACAACAATAATAACGCACACATGATTTTCTACTCATTAAGACATAAAATTTAACCGAAATTGCATTTTTGCTGAGTCAGCCTCTAAAGGACAATAAAAGGATATATCAATTGCTTTGTATTGCAAAGTCTTGCCGTGATTACATATGGGCTCCGCTTGCAAATGCATCAATGTTTGGTCATTGCTTTTTCTCTGATTTTCTTTTTTTGTTTCGTTTTTCTTCATCACTACTATCCTCTGTTTTCCATTTAAATGGAAAATTGTGATGCATTGTTCAAAATTTTAAACATAATTTCAATTTCAATCAAATCCATAATCGATGAATAGGTTTACAATAATTTCCATCCGTTGCCACTACAATACTGTAATATGCGTCTATAACTTCCTTACGGGATTTTACATCGATTTAATCTCATAAACGCTTATTCATCTGTTCTTAATATTATTTGTGGTCCTTGTTCACTTCAGCGGTACAGATATGTTGAACTTAGAAATTTAGAGTATAGTTGTGATCCCGATAAATTGGCGGAAGAGGTAAAGTTGAAAAATTTTAAAACATACATATATACAAAACTTTCCATACCGTCGAACCGAGAGTACTCCCGATCAATTTATTGAGTCTCGTCTGGAGCTAAGGAAAAATTTTATAACTGTTAGTATTTCGAATTCGTTTGAAAATTCTCTTCTTGTTCTGTTCTTCGTCTTTTTTTTTTTTCTTCATCAGGCTGCCTAATTACATGCATCATAGACGAGACCAAAAAAATAAGGTATAATCGTTGATTACATTCGAGTTGAATGCGAGAATCCTACGAATAGAGGGAAACGCGATTTTGGGTAAATTATTTCAAAGGATAGGCGGCCTGGGCTCTTTCTGGGTAGAAAGAGAAATTTCATGCCTTTATTTTTCAATGTTTCTTACAAGTTGTACTTGTAACTTTTCACTTACTGCTCCTGATACGCAAAAAGTGCAACTATAACTACTTTGTCCTTTGTTTAGACATAACATTGGATGCTTCGCGGATACGTTCTGCTTTTTTATTTCTCCAAATTGACAGGATTTTTTTTGGATAAAGTTGGAAAATATTTGAAGAACTCAGGCCAAAGTCAGCCATCGAATCAATAGCCTCGCAAGGTAGACTTTAGACAAGATGCCATTGTAGAGCGATATTAATCTCTCTGTTATTGGAGGCGAACCTTTAAATAAGTTTTGCATTTGGTTACTAGGGCCGCTAAAAAAAAAAAAAAAAAAAAAAAAAATTAAGATCCATAGGTTACATCTTCGGTTCTTTTTATTTATTTATTCATTTTTTTTTTTTTTTATTAGGTTATAGACCCATTTTCCTTTTCTTTTCTTTTCTTTTCACGCCGCAACTTTAGAGATATTTTAGTGAAATTTAGTACACTGATGCGTTTTGGCCCACGCACGATATGCTCCCCTAAAAGACCTTATATATTTGAAAGGTCGATCTATCGATAAATGCAGGATGGTGTAGGGTACTTTAATAGCGGATTATGATTAACTTGAATTTTTTTCAACTTTGCTACAGATTTCTTTCTATTAATGTCATCGAATTTCGAATCTTTATTACGATCACATTTGAATTATATGAGGACATTATTTTTCTTCCAAGCAATATGGTTTGTTGAAATGTTATTACTATCGCAATCCGAAGAGACCAAAGAAAAGGTTAAACGTTTTCTTCTGCTGATAAATCGTTTGTTGTTTTCGACATCCCCGTCGCCAATCAAATTCAAATCATTTTGATTGTAACGGTGCAATATATATTTCTTTAAATCTAATCTGACGCCACAAGTACTTGATCCTTGGACAATTAGATTGTAACTGATTACTTTATTTAAATTTAATTCTGATAAAACTTGAAAACCTAACATATTTACTGTTCATTCAATGCTTGCCAAAGCATTTGAGTTGTATTTTGGCAACGATTGATATTAGAGCAGGGCGTTCATCAAGATTACCTCTGAAATAAATAATGATATTAACCTTTGTTATTCAAAAAAACTTATTATATATATTATATATATTATTATATATATATATGTATTATATTATTATGTTTCATATTCAAATTTTAAGTTTTTTCATAAAGTAGAGTTAGTCCAGTTGGACGCAGCAGTGAATGGCTGATTTCTATTTCAATTTTATTGACAGTTTAAGAACCCGAATAAGCCATAGACCGACAGATAGATAGAATGTACAAGTTTTATATAGAATCGTTAACGCTTACATTGCAGTGGATAGACGAAAGCAAGTTTATGAAATGCCTGACATTCGTCGAATGTATCCATAAAATTTGAATCATTAAAAATTGATTACATAACGAGACAGGAGTATTTAATAAGTAAGTAAACATGTACATTATTATCAACATGCAGGATACAAGGGAAACAAGATGAAGACATTTTTCTTTAAATAACCGATAATTTGCAGCTTAAGACCGCCGTTTGCATACAAAACCACAAACTGATCAATCAGCTTATTTTTAATGAAGAGAGAAAGAGAAAGAGAAAGAGAGAGAGAGAAATATAGATAAATAGAGAGAGAGAGAGAGAGAGAGAGAGAGAGAGAAGAAAGTGATGAAAAAAAATTGAACAAAAATATTCAGACAATTATTGACAAAGCGTTGACTGTGAAAATAGGGCGTAGGGCGAGACGATTTTTTCATAGATAACAAACACAGCCACTTACCTTAACAAAGAGACAAAAAATAAGCAGACAATACTTTGTGTCTGTTGTTCATTCCACGATTTCGTCATTCATAGGAATAATGAATATTCAAAATGTATAGATAATAATAATAATAATAATAACGACGATGAGGATGATGATCATAATGATGATGATGATGATGATGATGATAATGATGATCGTCGTAATGGTTACAGGATAATAATTCCTAAAGCGTAAAAATACCAATAAATCCATTTTATGTTTTTTCTTAGCAAATTTTTCTTATGTCTTTTTACAGCAATATAACAAAACCAAATACAATACAAATAGGAAAAGGAAAAGCAAAAATCTTCTTATACACCCATCATCTCTATACATTGTTAAGGTAAAGTACTGTTGTTGACTTAAGATTACGACAGAAGACATAATAATATCGTCATTTTTTTTTTGTTTTTTTTTTTTTCCAAATTGTGTGCGTACGTGTGTATGTGTATGATGGTTAAACTTGACCTTTTCTTTTAATTTTGTCCTAAGACAAATGATAATCTCCAGCAAATGATTATAAATGTTTACTTTTATATTTGGTTTTTTTTTTTTTATTTTTTATTTTTTCATTTCTTAAAAATAATTTTATTTATTTTTAACCACATGATTTAAATCAAAAACACCGCGCACACACTTCAGCTTAACACCAGGGACATCCTGTAAACGACCGACCCGCACTAAAACAATATTATGTTCTTGCAGATTATGACCAATGCCTGGAACATAGGCTACCATTTCTTTCCCGGTAGAAAGGCGGACCAAAACGCATTTACGATTCGCCGAATTGGGTTTTTTCGGTTTCTTAATTAACGTTTTCAATACGACACCCTTAGCGAAGGGTTTACCATCTAACGGCTTCCGAGGTGGTCGTGTTTTTATATGCGGTCCCGTACGATGCATTCGATATAGCGAAGCTATTTCACGCATTTGCATCAATGAATTATTGACAACTGAAATGAGAGCAGAAACAGAATACATAATGATATTGAATGAATATTTATTTCTAAACATATTCAAGCATTTTCGAAATCGAAATCAACACAACAAACTTTTCACTACTTTCTTACATTGGGAGGATGTCGTCAATACTTATCGCCTCAAGCCATCATATAAAAATTATTAAGTATTTAAGCACATCTGTAGTCAGTCAGCTGATCAGGTGATCAACGTATTCGATAATTTGACCCTTTTTTGAATATATTTCGAAAGGTTTGATTAAGGTATGGTTCGTAATTGATCGAACTTGTTACAATGAGCAAAGGAAAGAAAGTTATCAGGAAGCTTGGACAATTGATATTTCATTATAAGATCTTGTAGCAAATGTAATACACAGAGAATTTCGCTGTTTGAACGTTCATTGCTGGATCGAACATGGAACCTTTATAAAATTTTCGCCTTCTATTATATCTAGATTAGGACGTGCATTAATATTTTTGCTATTGGATAGACTATCCAACAACTTCTGCAACTCAAATTTATTTACCCGAAAACGCTTCGCAATTGAGAGCGTGTCGGAGCGTTCAGATTTTCATACTATATTCATACCCATAGAATTTTAACTAGATTCTCATTGGACGGACGCGGTCTATTCCAACCTTTATCGTTTAATTAGGGAAACGACACTCTTGGAAAAGGATGTGAGCAAAGCTTAAAGTCGAATTCAAACAACCATAATAGTGCAGGGAAGCAGTGAAAGCAGGTTTCCACCACAATGCCATACCAGAAAGACGAGTAGCCTCTGTTAAGACTAGAGCCCAATGCGGCTCACTTACCAGTCGGTCAGTGCCAGTCAAAATGCAACAATTACAAGTTTAAGCAGAGTGTGCCCAAACTCCGTCCAATGGCTCCTAATACGCTACAACTTGCTGATCTCACCATATGCACAGCAAAGCTTCATTTCTATGAATATTCCAATTCAGTGTTGATGTGGATGATCCTCCCGGACAAAACCATGACTTTTTTTGCTTGGGTTTGTCGTAGTAGATCTAATTGTCATCGCCAATCATAATATACCGTAGAAAACTTATCTTTATATGCCTGGCAAGCGATGAAATCGCAATATTTAAACGGTTTTGGTTAATTTTTCCTCCTTTTAAATCTTTTTCATCCTATGTGAACCGATAATTGCGATATGAAGGAGCAGCATCATCATAAGCTGCTAAAAGTGTTTGATAGGCTCAAGCAGCGACGAAATGTCAAAAATGCAGTATTGAGCGTTTTAACGTCTGTATGCACACTGCATAGCCTGAATAATATAAAATGGAAACCTGTTATATAATGTAGGCAAGGGTCAAAGGAAACTGTTGCGTGCATTATTTAATCATTGTCAGTAACAGATGTTGCCGATCAAAATACATGCAAGCGCCCATTATGTAATTGTTAATTGTTCCTACCATGTTGCAAACTCCAATTTGCTTCTCGTGATAACTGTACTCTTTCGTATGCCAAGCTTATACGCTTAACAATCCCAACTTTCTGAACTTATATCTACTGAACGCGGCGATATTCGACAATACATATATGTATAGGTGCATAAGTTTGTTGCCTCGAGACTTTATTGCAAAAAACTGATCATACATTTGCTATTCAAAATATTGTCCGTCAATAGGTACTATTTTACGATATCATGTCCATTTTTTCGTCTCAGTCAAAACAAATTATTGTTGTTAGCATATTTCGGCGATGGTTTCATTTGGTTTGAATGAGACAGACCACACTGCGACCAGCTACTAACCCACCCACGCAAATATTCCCACAATCGATATTCAGCTTTATTGTCGACATTTGTGATTTACATACTATCGCTACTATTGCATTATTTTGACTTTGACCCACCCACGGAAGTATTCCCACAATCGATATTCAGCTGTATTGTCGACATTTGTGATTTAGATACTATCGCTACTATTGCATTATTTCAGCTTTGAATTTTGTTACGCATCCACTCTTCATCAACAGTAAGAATATATCGGGACTATCAATCAAATTAAGGACGAAAAGCAAAGTTTTCCGCAAATGACGATTCTTTGGCGCAGAAGCTCCAAGAAAATTATATTTTTGCACACGCATAAATATGCGATAATTTATACAATTGCGTATAGCTTAAGGACAATACAGTCTTATTTACCAACCTATAGTACCATTTAGTCTCTCTGCACGGCACAGTTAAATTCATACATACATATATATATATATATATTCATAACATAAATGTACTCTCTTTAGATATAACCACAAAAATGTAGCTAAAACCAAAAAGTGTGACAAACATGCGTTTAATCTGTAATGATTTTCCCCAGTGATTAATGCCGAAGATAGTATAGTAAAAATGAAGAACAATAGGGGTTGAATATCTTAGCAATGGACGCGACAGATGTGTGGGCAGCAATTACAAAAAAAAATAAAAATAAAAATAAAAAAATAAATAAATAAATAAATAAAATCAATACACATCTATAGGCATTGACATACAAAATACATAACGGATTAAATGTGGAAGAGTAATTTTTTTTTTTTTGCAAAACTATTCATAATCATCGTCCACCTTCGCACAAAAGGGAAAAATATTATAAAAAATTGAAAATAAAAGAAAATCAATATTCAATTCATATGGTTTTGGGTTAATCTCTGCGGAAAATCTCTGACCAATGACACAAAACAAAAAACAATGCAAAGCAATTTTAACCAAATATGACGGAATCCATTGTTCATCATTGTTTTTGCTGCTGTTCGTTCCACTGCATTGCATTGATGACGAATAATAATAGAATTTTTTTTATTACTTGAGCCATATTTGTGAAAAGATTGATGGAAATAAATGATTATTTATTTTGGCCGATGATTTCGTTCGTTTTTTGTTGCTTTCTCCATTTAGTCAGCGGTCACCTTAACCTTTGGTTTGCTTGAAATTGACCCCTTTTCCTGCATCCATTGTTTCAATTTTATATAAATCAATCGCCATTGTTGTCATTATTTCTATTTCGCATATTTTCCCATATGAGTTTGATGAGAAAAACGGAAACGATTTCAGTTGAGATCGTTCGAAATGCTTACAGTTGTAACAATTTTTGTTGTTTACATTATTGATCGTTAAAGAAAATCATCATTAAAATTTTTCAATTCACTTCATTCTTGATTGAAATATATGGCTTTCTAGTCCTTTATATCGTATCAATGTCCTTAAAGCGATCCAGACAGACGTCGGCTACGGTACAGTCGAAACTTCCGTGCTCGTATAAACAGCAACGTAATAATTTCTTATTGGAAACGATCGATCTATTTACCATGGTTGATTTATACATTTCCGCATAGCCGAAAATCGATAGTTTGGCCATCAAGTTTAACTTTTTCGCCTTGAAAGTAGCAAAGCAGTAATCGAACCAATAATCCAAGCTATTCTTCATTAAATTATTGTAGGCCGATTGACCAAACTTAAATCAATTGAGTTCAGTAGTGGTCATCGTAGGTTTACTAATAAAAGATTTTTTTTTTTTTTTTTTTTTTTTGTTAAATGACCAATCAGTCAGGGGATGTGCCATACTCGTATAACACGGCGACGATCAGAACGAAGGAGAACACCCCCCAAACCTGTAAGCGTTATACCTTTACCGACTAAATTATAGCGCTGCTCAAAGTAAACTCTATCGCACTCAGATTTGAACCCGCGAAAACTAACTTGTTCGTGCCACGGTTCTTACCTACTTGACTACTTGGCGCCATATCACATGAGCGACAGGCTCTTTAGATCGTATTTGCTGAGATTTTTGGTTAAAAACTCTTGTAGGAGAGAGAGAGAGAGAGAGAGAGAGAGAGAGATAGAGACGAAGAGAGAACAGCAACAACTGTCTGGAGTCAATACATTAATTAAAGTTTCTGGACCGAGCCTAAAAATGATGCTCACCATTTGAGCAGATTCACGATGATTTATGAGTACCAGCTCCATGATTTTGCAATCTTTTCGCCATTGAAGATCGATTTTTGTGATCTAAAGCGAAGAGAATTAACTTTCGTACTTGTAGGACAAGTACGGTTATAAGAAACTATTAACTAATTTCTACTATACTGCATATAAGAAAATTTAGTGCAATTAATATAATAGCAAATGAGGTCCTCCTGCCTGATTATTATAAAATACGAAATGTGATTTAATTCGTTGCTAAAGGTATAGGAAACTGTGGCCTTTTCATTCGCAAACACATTTTCCAATAATAGTTTGTGTATATTTCAATTTCGCAGATTTCGACTTATTACTTACCAACCGACCACCCATAGCGTGTGCATTATTGCGGTTTGTGAGGGAATAAAACATTTTTATAATCTCTATGGACAGTTTCGTTGTTAATCATTTCAAAATGAATATGTTTATGACAATAGATGAATAAATATCAAGCGTAACACAATGATGTACAGTGTGTGAAATATTTTGCATAAGCAAAAAGTGAAAAAAAAAAAAAATAAATAAATAAATAAATAAAAAAGAAAAAAAAAAAGGATACAAAAATAAAATGAGCATAAAAGGACTATGACAGAAGAAAGGCTAACACAATAACAATAACAATAAGTTACGAATCGAATGTAGTGCAAAGACAACAGTGGATTAATTGATTTCAACTTGAATGCGCTTTTTGTGTATACATCCGATTATTTTGGGATTTCGAGTATTCAAAATAACACCTGAGATGCAAAATGCATTAAATTATTGTAAATATGCTATGACTATAAATATAACTGAATATTTACGAAAGGATTGATTTGACGGACATTTTTAAAATACATTTTTAAAAAAATAGATCATTGATAGATTGTTTGTGATCTCTGACTCAGTGGCGGCTATGTTCTCAACTTACAAATGGCGTTTGCTTTGCGCTTATGACTAGCGACGTTAATAACAATCGCTCTTGACATATGATAATAGTGACGTAACATAAATTAATTGATTAAAAAATGCATGCAACCATATCCCAGTTGGTGTATTCTATCTAGTTTTGGTCTAAACGTGCACTAGTTGTGTAAGACTGAACTCCAAGCTTTATATATGAAGCAATCCAATTCAGATAATATGGAGGCAAATCCATCAAATCAAGTTTCATCATTAGCAGATTGTAGCTAGAAAATGATTACAAAACGTTTTCTGTATCGAACATGATAGGTCCATAAAGGGTTGTCAGCGTAGACCATTCATTAATGAATCCATATTGAGCGTGAGATTTAATTGTTTTCGCACTACAGAATACTCTTTGTACCATTGTGTATTCAAAGGATGTTGGTAATGCACTAAGTTTATGGATGTGTTTGTACTTATCAATCAAGTGCCTATTGCCCGTTTTATGCATAGGGAATACGAAACTAAGTAGGAATAAATTTCAAATCCGTGTAACTACAATATAGATCTGTTCCGCTGACTACGATAATCCATATTGTACTTTCTTTTCAGACTTAACGAAATTCCCAAAGCTATTGAATGCTTTCTTCGCGTGAGGATAGTTGAAAAATTTAGACTTTTTCTCTCTCCATGATTAATATTTCTTGCGTTGCACCGGTACTTAAGACACTACAAGATGCAGAGAATTTTTGAGCGTTTGATGATATTTACCCTCAGGATTTACATCTCATCCTATTTAGAAAATACTAGGTCTAGAATTTTGTTATTATAGATCAAAAATATCATCGAAAAATATATCGAGCCGCGCTATTCAAGCAAGACAAGAATAAACCTTTTACCAACATCGTAGAATTGCTAAAACGTCTGAGGTAGACTAAAGCCACCCATTACGATAAGAATATCGTTGCGTTTCAATTTGCTCGAGATCTCCTGAAGAAATGAGACATGCTTCATGTATATATCCAAATCTGATAGTAAAGGAATATATGAACAAGAGACATAAATTTTTTTAATTTTAATTTGAAAATAGTCTGCTAAGAACCTCGCATCCACTCTTAACAAATGGTCACTCCGTCTATTTGCTTACGGGTCACTTTGATAAACATAAGCCGGCAGCACTGCTATTTCCGGATCGTGGTAATTGTACAGTGGAAAATTGTGCTGCGAACAAAATAATTTTGTTATGCGTACGCATTTCGATTGTAAGAAAATGATTCAAAATGCATCGTCTATGTAGGGCGTAAACCCAAATTGCGGAGGCAAGCAAAGGCCAATGAAAAAATTGCCACCAATCTAGAAAAGCGAAGAAAAACGGAGGGCCATCTCATTCAATAGACATAAAACTAAACAGTTAGGAGACCGTTTAATTAATTCACAATCATACCTTTTTCACTTGGGCAGTAGATTAACTTTCGTTTTGCTGAATCATTCGAATGAATAAATGAATAACAGAAAAGCAATTTTTGAATATTTTGTAGTTTTGGCACGCGTTTATTATTTCCAAGTGTCCTTCTGAATGTTGATTTTATCTTCCCCTAACATGATGATAGCATCAGAACTTAAGATCGAAATTCCCTTTTCTTTATAGGAAAAAATTTAGCAAATCATTGCATTTGAAATTTGAACCCTTTTACTCCAAACGTTCTTCTCTCTAACACCTGCTGACATTTCGTCCCTAAATGGTGCAGTAATTTAATTTGGCGTCTGACAAGCGTACGCCTAACGTACGCGCATTTCCACTTGTGTATTAAAAAACAAACAATAAACACAGATGTTAGTTTTACCCTAAAATGCATTCACTTACAAAACATTGAGATGCTAGAGATGATGTGACAATTTTTACGTTTTCCCAAAATAAGGTAAATATTGTTAGAACAATAAACCGGCAATTTGTTAGGGAGTCCAGATAACATTCTTACACTTTTATAAAATAGATTTTATAATTGAGATTTAAATGCATGGCCAAGCAAGGAAGGGGACATAAAGGTCAAAAAGTTAAAAAAAACAGCCTTCGGTAACAACATACACATCTTAAGGGAATATGGAAATTTTAAAATGTAATATTTTTTCAAAAGTTTGACAATTGCTATAGCGAACCTATAGGATAGTTTATGTTAGTTTTGCTTGGTTACAAGACGATTTTTTCCGTTGTATGTCGGATTAATTTCAAATCGATTTGTGGTCATGACCATCGTGATAATCAATATTTACTGTGTACTTACTTACATTTACATATTTACTGTGGCAAATGCAATCGCTGACAATGAACGAAGGGAACAAAGTGAAAGGGAAAGATAATCATAGCTATGTTCCCTTCGAATCGAGTATCGATTAGACTATATATCCTTATTATTTAATATATTTTTCTGAATAAGAATCTGGTCTTCCTTTATCTATTAGTTCAGTGAAAATGAAAAGTGTGGCTTAGAAGCCTTCAAAATTGAAACTCCCCGTATGATGAATTACGATTACAAGACAAAAATATGATTTTACTATTGGGGTATCATTGTGATCAAGTTATACTTATGCTTGTGTAAACGCTATCCGCATGAAATTTTAAATTTCAATTAAGTACTTTCGGCTTAAACAAAGTCTCTAATTAATTTGCTTGCAGGCGTTTCTGCTAGTTTCCTAGTTTTTGGGGCGGTAAATATGTATGAGTAATGTATGTAAGCATAAAAATATCTCATCACGTCACATAAAGCATTCGGTACGGATTTTTGGCTTACACAAGTGAACGATTCCATCGAGATCATTTTAAATTATTAAAGTGATTATATTGCGGTCGCTTTCGATCTTAAGTCGAACTTTTTAACGATTCTGTTTTTACTTATCGCTTTTAAAAAAACAAATCAGATATTTCGTATAACGATTATCTTTCAATTAAAAGCGTTTTAAATTCACATACAAATAGATTTATTTCCTAGCGGAAATTATGTTTACGCATACTTATATATATATATATATATATATATATACGGCCAGAACATACCTTGTGTTGTCACTTGTTTCGTAACATTAAATGTTTGACGTAAAAAATTCATTATCCATGAATGTTTCCTGCTTTAAGTCACTATCAAATATCGCTGATCACTTCGTAAATGCCTTTTTTCAAGGAGTTTTAGTAAATAACTTTACGTTTTATTTATAATTTATTAATTTTAGCTAAAATGTCATGCTTCTAGCTGATTGTATGCGAACAACTGTTCTTACATATGTTTCAAAGACAGAGAAGTTCACGAGAAAAAAGTAACAAAAACGAGGCACTGCCAACTTAAAATACTTTGCTTAATCTAATTAGATGTATTTATTAAATATATAAATATATAAAATCTAACGACCAAGCTCTGAATCTAGCACCACTAATCATAAGAACAAAGCAAAAAAATATACGGCGAAGCATATAATTCCTAAGTAAAGCCGGAATAAGGATAAGGATAAGTAAGAAGCAATCGCAGCATTTTACATTCAATCGGTTAAATCGGAATTTTAAGACTTATAATACACGATGCTCGCCTTTGATATCTTGAAGTGAGGCTGAAAAGTTTTTCAAAGGTTATCATTTATGCTTATCCTAATTTTTGTCATATTAAAAATTCTGCTAATCGACAGACAAACCAAGATGAACAAGAAATTTCATGACCATTGATGACAAAGATCTTTTCATACATTTACCTTCTTTCTGTTTTTTTTTGGCGGACTTGCGCATAATACAAAACCGTAGGCAAATTAGATATATCGTTTTTATGTCAATTTCTTAATCTCATACTTTTAGCCCAATATTTTTAGTTCAAAATGTACGGGCGGACCAACCAGAATAGCTCAGAATTAAGTGTAGTTTAATTGCTGGGTATGATGACCTTGATTTATCCCTAATTTTTGACAGTAGAAAAAAAATTATAATTTCTAAAATTATTTACTAAACTATATACTAAATTCTAAATCATACCCATTACCACCATACAGAAAGAAGTCAATTATTCCGGAACAACAAACTTAACTGTCCTTAAGAACACGGATCATAAAAAAAATCCATGAAAGAGCTTTTTACTGTGCAGATATTTTTCTGATCTCACTTATTTAAACATTTTTTCTCTCTACAAGAAAATTGCTTCGACGGGTTTCCTAGGTTAAGAAACACAATTCATTTCTAATTCTCAATCGGATGTTTTTGTTTCTTTTTTGATTCCAGAAATATTGAAAAAACATGGAATTATTTCTCTTAGCATAAGTGCGCAGACACTGCCTCTCTTTTGTCTATTGCTTCAAACATGGAGAACTTTTACTATAGATTTTATTATTCTCTGGAGCACGAGAGCTATTGATTGAGATTATTCCTCTTTCGAGTAATAAAAGTAAGCAATCGAAAGATTTACTAGAATGCATTAAAGGAATAGCTAAACTTGAAACCGTGGTGACAAAAATACCGCAACAACAGCAGCAGCAAGAAGGAAACCCAAAAAGTAAATTCAATTTACTTAAAAAACGAACACAACCCGGTCCATTTCTAAACGATGAAAATGAGAAAAGAAAGAATGAATGAAATTGATAAAGTTTTTTACTTAAATATACTTGTATAATATTCTTCTTCTAAATCATATAAATCTAAAGCCATCTCATCGCGTAATTTCATTAATTTTTTATCACAATCCCGTTGAGTAGCGCGAAACAATTGTGAATTGGTAGCTATGGCCTCATTAACCGAATGAAAATCGTTCAAAATTAAATATTGTTTAATATCGGAAACCAGTTTCATTAACGATTCAAAAGCCCGCACTGAAATAATAATAAAAGAATAATTTATTTTTTTATGTAAATCTAAAAAGTAAATAAATTGTATCCACCACTTAAATTCAGGACCCAAGAAGCAAGTTCCAATTGTCTATCTCACTTTTTGTCATCGATATAACGATTCCAAAAAGTAGACGCCAGCTGATAAAGCTGACATACATATTTTTTGTTTAACTTGGCGTTATGAAGTGTCTCTGAAAATTAATTTTAAGTTTTAAAAACGGGCGCTCCTGGGGCGGTGGTGGAACTTTCTTTCATTTTCCTTTTAGCTTACCTATATTGGCAGCTCGTACTTGCATTTCATATGTGTCCTGTTCACATTGAGTGGTTTTGGAGAGCTGTGAGTCGCCTTCGCCTCGTGCCAGCTTAACTGTTTCTACAAAGATTTCAATATAATTTTTTGTTTTTTTAATCATTATTATTATTACTATCATTATATAATTTATTCCTTATATTGAAGGAAAATATTAACCTCAATGACAAATATAATAATAATGTTCTCTCCCAAATAGCCAGAAGACTGCCGAGATGGGAAGGATTCTGTGTGTGTAAAAACAAAGGGAAGCCATCAATAATAGGCCAATGAAGAACAAGTTTTGCCTATCTTCCTACCTACCACCGAAATCAGAAGTTTCTTCGCTTGGAATAATCGCAAAGCATCAGATATAGCACGTATAATGTATTGATCAGCGTAGGTTTCAGGTAGGCGCACAAGCAGCAGATATTGATCGAAGAACATCCGGAAGGAGTGATTGCCAAAAGGGCCTGCATGTCATCGTCCTCAATAAACGTCTTTACAACAATTTCATATAGTGATCTTGAAAATTCTTCTTTCTCTTTTGACATTTCGACGCGCTATACAGAAGTGAAGAGTAAAGCTGAGCCTTACAAAGGTTGAAAAAGTGTATTCTAAACTTCTCTCATTTGCATCGACGGCGATAAATTTTTTCATTGGTATAACAAGATTTCGGGGACAGAATATTTACAGACTTGCAACAAGATCGGCTTTAATTATTTGATTAAATGACAAATTGTTTAAAGCGTGTTTTTTGTTTTTGCTTTTGTGCTCATGCGACTCGTAGCTGATCAACTTTTTAGAAGCTTTAATAGAGAAATATTAACTTTTGAAACACATTACAAACAGTGTTCTGTGCTTTGAGAAATGCAACATCGTTTGCATTATGGATAAAAATTGTCGATTTTTAGGATCGTTTGTTTTTTCTCTTTCATAATTGCTTAATTTCACAATTTCTAGCTAACACAACATAAGCATTAGGGAATTTTTAATGTGTAATAGTAAATACGCTTAAAAATTTTGAAACACCACGTCAGTAATGTAATAAAATCTGTTGTGTTTCCCTGCGATGTCTGCCAGTCATTTAGCAACTCTTGTTATAAAACTTTAAAATTTCAGAAAGCAAACAAACAAACGAACGTAAAAAATTGAATTTTTGTTTAAAAAAAAAAAAAATAAATAAATAAAAAAAAAATATAGGAAAAAATAATATATTTTTCCTCCGATGGGTTTAATCATAACTACTCTGTTAAACTCATTTCTGGGGAAACGTGATGTGCGCATTCTGATGGTCGGTCTTGATGGTGCCGGCAAAACCACAATACTCTATAAACTGAAAGTGGGCGAAGTTATCTCATCCATACCGACAATTGGTTTCAACGTGGAGGTCGTCGAATATAAGAACATACGTTTCACAGTTTGGGATATTGGCGGGCAAATGAAAATTCGACATCTTTGGTATCATTATTTTCCCAATACATCAGCCGTTATATTTGTAGTAGATGCAGCCGATATTGATCGTATATCTGAGGCAAGGCTGGAATTGCACACCATGCTGGAACACGATGATCTTCGTAATGCCGTGCTCTTGGTATTTGCAAATAAGCAAGACTTGCCGCATGCATTGAGTGTTAGTGAATTGGCAAAAAATTTAAGTTTGCACCAATTGCAGCAAGAATGGTATGTCCACGCCACTTGCGCTGTCCTAGGTAACGGCCTATATGAAGGCTTGGAGTATTTACGTGAAATGTTACAGCGCAAAAGAATAAATCGTTAATCGGATATGTTCGCTCAGTTTAATAGACATTTTGCTTCGCCATATCTCCCTCTTCATAGATATTCATCCATATACATATATTGCATATTTAAATAATAGATAAATGATTTACATATCATTAATTAAATTTTCATTTAATGTTTTAATTCATTTTCTAAAATTCCAGTGCGTCCATGCCAACATGCAAATTGAAAAAAATGTTCAACAAAATACTTTGTGACTTAAAAAATTTGATTTTGAATCATTGTCCGGAAAGCAATGTCGCATGTCATTAGGGTCTTTGAAAGGCAACTAAGTAAAGCTTACAAAAATAGCCTTATTCGATTCAACGCAAAACTAGCACACTTTAAGGAGCAAACATTATCCTGGTAGTCGAAAAACTCTTGATATGAAGAAGTATTGGATAGGCTTTACATGTTGTCAACCATAAAACTCCTAACGGTACTTGTTCTCGAAAACAATAAATCTTTGTAAAGGAAGATTCAGTCGCGTTCCTCACTTCCATGAAATATTGTTCTTTTCGAACACATGTTATTGCGATCGCTATAGAGCGGAGCGTTTCATTTCGACGAAAGCTTTTTTAACCAAAGTACTTCAATTTAATTATGCATTAGAAGTGTAACTATCGTACATATACGTTTACAAAAATGGTATAAAATATTTTGTTCATTCCTGACAACAAAGACTTTTTACCTACATGAAAAGCTTACCGATATCGCAGTCGGCCTTTTAACGATATGTACCAAAGAATCTAGGTGTATGGATTATCACCAAAATCGATACACAGCTCGGGTAGACAACGAACGCGGGAAATAAGTGTTGATCAGAAGGCGGAATTTGTAAAACTTTCCAGTTTCGTGTTGCTAATATTTTTCGCACAAATTTCGTAATAAGAGACCGAACAAAGTCATGTTGAAAAATCACCCTATAATGCCTTTTGGTATATCGCGGCCGTTTTTTCTTTCATGAACGACGCAATGGCATCGTTTATTGTTGGTAATGAGCTACAGTAGTGCTCTCGGTTTGGTTGAGGCAACTTTTTGTTCCCTGTAAGCCCGTATATAAGGAATATAAGGAAAATTTCGAATAATACTTATTAATTCATTCGATTGGTCTCCAGTATGGCTTCTTGACCAGGGTATCGTAGCGCTTACCGACTCATCGCCATTTTTTCCCGAATTAAGAAAAGTGAGGTATTTTAATGCTAAGAAGTAAAGCTTAGAAATAGAAATAGTATTTTCGAATGCGGAAGTCACGGTTCCAAACAGTACGTTCTAGTGCGGTTTACTTTCTTTTTTGGAAATCAGCAGAAGTTTCGACTAACTTCATAGTGGTGACCGTGCCATTTCATTGTAACCATCTTTCTTTCGCGAATCGTATAAAGAATATGAAATTTCGGTTAGTATAACGATGCAAAGTTTCAGAAAGGATGCTAACATATCTTAAAATTATTCTATAGATCAAACGTGTAAATGGGTGCCCTTCACGCAACACATATAGTAGATAACAAAGTAAAATTGAGTGGAAGATTTGCTAAAACGACTGAACAGCGTAGGGTATATGTGATTCTGGTCCGTTTGCTGGCAGGTTTATAATTATCAAAATATTGCAATTCGCTAGAAAATAGTTTTTTTTTTTCAGAATTTTATTTGTAAATTGTTAGTAATAAAAATAATTTTAACTTCTCATATCCTAATCCATCTGTTTAATTATGTATATTTAATAAACAGTAATGAAAACATTTGAGAAACTAGTGCCTTTCGTTTATTCGCGCAAAAAGGGGGCAAAGCGAACGAATAGGAATAAATAAAACCAGACTTGAGACTGAATAGCAAAAGTATGAAATTTCATTTACTCTCGAACAGCCGATAGAATCGGTCCTCTTATTCACTTAGTTAGAAACTAAGTTAAATAGATGGAAAAATATTTTATTATTCGTTTCAATTTGCGTATAAAACTATGGGCCAACGGTGGACACGATTTATTGGACGTTTCTTCAGTAAACCAAATCGCGAAATAAAAGTTGGTATGTTGGGTTTGGATAATGCTGGAAAGACTACCATATTATATCAGCTTAAAAACGCGAAATCTCCAGAAGAAATTGTGCCGACTATAGGTTTTAATGTGGAGACAATACGATGTGGTAAACATTTGCTGAATATCTGGGATGTCAGCGGCGGTAAACCAAAAACCCGCCTGCTCTGGAAACATTATAATCAAAATACCAGAGCTATCATTTTTGTTGTGGACGCAGCTGATTTGGCAAGGATTCCACTGGCAGCAGAGGAATTGAGATGGTTATGGTGGCGTAATGAGTTGGCTCACGCCATTTTTTTAATATTTGCCAATAAACAAGATTTGGCTAACGCTTTAAACGCCCAAGAAATTGTGCAAGTATTAGAATTAGATACATTGCATCAGCATCTATGGACAGTGCAGGAATGTTGTGCTTTAACGGGGGCTGGATTATGGCAAGGAATGCAACAGTTAATGCAACTGTATGAAGAACGTGCGAAAACTTGTAGTTTACGTTTAATACGTAAATAATTAATAAAATCAGGATATATAAAAGCAAATAATTTACCTTCAAAATTTTCTAATATGCTTTTAACATCATCTTTCAAGCGTGTTTGATACGATTTCAGGAGGGCTTCTTTTGACTGTGGTAGAGCACGTTGCCCAGACATCTCGTGCAAGTAAAAAATTGAAATTTATTCGATACAAAAATCAATAAAATGCCAGTCTTCTTACATTTATAAGCATTCTTTTCTGTTTGGCCGCGAAACAAAGAAATTATTAGCGATGAACAGCTGATGTTTGTTTGTAGTAAACAGTTGCAGAAAAGGGGCCCTGCTTATCGTTTGCGATGAAAGTACTTTCTAATTATTTAAAACGATATATAAATATTTACATCTCTAACTTTTTAAAGTAGCAACTAATAAAAGTTATCGATAAATAAAAAGAAACAATAATTTAACATTACACCTTTAATTGATGGGTTTTCAATCGATATAAGTCTTCTCAATCCTTACATCACTATGAAAACGAAAGCCAATTTAGTGTTGGAAAGCGAATGAGGAAATATATATGTGTGACCATTATGTTTGCTTATTATCATTATAACATTTAGTAAATACTGAAGTTTGTATTTAATTTTCAAATCGTAAACAATTAAAGAAAAATACTCCATAATTTGTTGAATTTCTAGGCTTACGTAGATAAAATGGCTGCACGTCGCGATATAGCACCATTTTTACAACGTTTACGTGCTTTTTTGCTGGGTGTATGTATACAATCAAAGAAACTATCCTTTTTGATTATGTAAGGTTTTAGGTGCATAAATTAAGTTTCTCTAATTTTTCTAGCGTGAGCATACAGTTGCCTTACGCTTCGAAGATGGTGTAGCCGATCGGACACAACCACCACCCGATGTGCCCGGTGGTCCAGCTCATATATTATCTGCCAATTACTATTGCGTACGAGATCCTCGACGTGATGTAATGCCACCCATAGATTTGGTGCAACAGAAGCTACTGGCTACTGGTAAAGACACTGCCAAATCTAGTGGCGCTAAATTGCCAACACCTGGAGCTGTGTATGCATGGGATTGAAATGAAAAATTTTACTAAGATTAAGTAAATTTCGAAAGCTGGTGAAAATTTGAAACGACTATCTTTTTAAACTTGGAAAAATAAAAATTACAAGCGTTGTTAATGACTATTGATAAGTGACAACCAATAACTGGGATAGCGGAAGTGGTAGATCGATACCAAACGTCTGCTGCCCGCAGACATCTAAAGACAATATATTTTTTTTAGAATTTAAAAGGGATATACTATCTGTGAGGGCTTCAACCAATGGTTGTAACAAGTAAAGCATGGAGGCAAAAATGTGATTTTGGCATTGTTTACTTTGCTATAAGTTAAACTAATCCCACCTAATTACTACCAATTGCAATTAGAAGAAGAGAAGAAGCAGAGTACTGGACCTTAAATCTTCGAGTATTTATCTAGAAAACGGAGACTGTAAAAGGATTTAAGAGATCTTTAATTAATTTCTATATCGCAATAGCCAAGTTATGTGACGCCTAATTTTTAACTAGGACTTGAGACTCTTCTTAATGTTAAATATAATTAATATATCTAGGAATCCAACAAATCAGTTTTTGAAAATTGGCAGCTTAGAAAAGTTAAGGTTTATCACACGTTACTTCCCAGAATAGATTGGAAATAAGTTGGAATTAAAATTTCATTATTAATTGTGGACGTACTTGTAAACCAATCACGATATCCTAAGAATTACGACCTATAGGGTAAAGGCAAAATTACATGACCATGGACAGCCAGATAGACAAACAGGCAATCTTAAGTCAATGTAGAAAACCAATAAAGATGTGGTTTGACTTAACCCCTTTTGGATATTCTTGCGTTCCAAGTGGTGTTGGATTTGAAAACTTGTCTATATATTTTCGCTCTACGTTTTGGTTCGCAATTTAATTTCAGAGCTAAATTGGACCGTGAAAAGCGCAAGGTGAAGAAGATTCGGGCCCGCTTATTGCTGCGCCTATGATATCCAAGGTGGATCTGAAAACTTTCTTATTGATCATCCGGTTTTATTAAAAATTATCATCTTTTATCTTTAATAAGCATCGAAAAAACACGACTGTGTTTAACTGTTTTGCAAAACAGGTCGTCAATTCGCGCTCCGAAATTAAATGAACTTTTTAACTTAGTACGAACTTTACTTAGTACTACCACTTGCTTTGGATTTGAGTAAGCAAAGGTAATAATTTACCCAAACGACAAAAGGCAAAAAAATGAAAAAACACAAAACCAGTATATTTATGTGAATATTTATAAATATTTTCAAAATTTTTATATATTGCTATTAGAAGTTTACAAATTGGGTCAGTTTTAATTAAGGCTATGAACTGAAAAGTGATAAATATTTGAGGTGAACAAAAAAACAAACAAAAAAAGCAACGCATTACAAGATTTGAAATAACAAAGGAATAAATGAATAAATCATTCAAAAATGTTTTGGATTTTATTAACTTTTGAAATATTTTTTTTTCTACTATGGGACTATTTACGCTTAAGAAAAATTAAACGTTATTTCGCTAAACAAGGTATTCGAGGACCTTCTAATAGTCTACCATTTATCGGTGATGCTCTCCTCTTCTTAGGTCTAACACCAGAAGGTAACTAATAATGTCAAAAATTTTTTATATAAAACGAAGAAAAGGAAAAATTTGAAAAAAAACGAATCAACACATATCGGCACATTGCACCAAGTAAAATAGTTATATTCGATAGGGATCGAATTTCGCATACCCAGCACTATACTTTCCGCGTTCTGCTCGCCTAGTTCTTTTACTTGATACCCATATCGTTAATCGTGGTAGATAATTAATCTTCATTTAAGGAAGGACCACAAAATAATTTTAAAGATTCTACCTTGTTGTCACAAAAACAAAGTGAAAAAAAGGAAATTTGTTCAGAAAAAGGTAGTTACGTTCATTTTACGCTTCACTGTGGACTTCTGCTCTAATCAATTTGGTCCAACAACCTCGAAGTCAATATTTTCATTTTTCCGATCAGGAGAGTGCCAACAACACACACCGCACTGACGGACAGACGGACAGACATGATTTAATCAATTCGGAATTTCACGCTGATCACGAATATACATACTCTATATAGTAGTTCTCTCTACTAGCTCTCTCTAACAACGTATTCGAACTCCGGTTTCTTTTTTGTTCGTATTAACTAAACTAAAGGGCGTCCGGGAAATCTTTCAAAATCTACTTAATTATTAAACATTTAAGATTCTGATTAATCGCATTGATATCGTTCCGGACAACAGACGAGAGAGTAATGTGCTGAACTAAAAGGTATCCTTCTTTGATATCATAAGGTTTAAAAAGATGTAACCGAGTACGAAGGAACAGCGGTTATCAGCGAGTCACTCTACGCTAGTTCAAATCTCAAATGAGGTAGAACTTTCTTAGGCCTTTGCTATAGTGAACGTTTAGTTGGTATTGATTGGGCAGCGATCACCATATTCCCATTTAGATACTATTTCATTTTTCTCCTTTCTTTGTGACAGGATATGTCCTCTGTATGATTGGTCCTATTATAAGAAAAAGTAAACTGTCACAAGGTTGCAATAAGGTTTGATGTTAATGGCACCATTTTAGAACCTTGTTTATGGCGCTTTGGTCCTATATATAAATCCTATATATAAATCATGTGATGTAATTAGCTGAAGGAAGGGTTTAGGTTTGACAGGGAATACATTAATATATTTTGATAGAATCTGTTAGTCCTTCATAAAGCTTTCACATTAAATTTTTAAGATGGAGGAGCAAGCAAAAACAGAATGGCGCTAAAATTGATATATGAATTGACTTTTGAAAATATTTCCATTCTTTATCTAAGGCTACGGTATTTTTATAATTTAAGAGAAGTCCTGATGTTCAATTAAATATGCACGGTATACATTTTTCGAGATGATTAAAATTTCTGCTTGATTATAATCGCAGGTATTTATAAATTTGGTAGCGGCCTGTTCAAGCAATATGGAAAGGTTTTCCATTTTTGGTTAGGTCATACGAGTGCTTTGGTGGTCGCTGATCCCAAATATTATAAGCATATCTTGTTTAACTCGAATGTGATCTCTAAACCTAAGCAATATGAATTGCTTAGTTATATAACCGGCGATGGACTTATAGCTAATAAATCGAGTACAAAATGGTATGGGAGGCATAAAATTATAACTCCCGCATTCCATTACAAATTACTAAATCAATATATTGAGATATTCGATAAAAATAGTATCGAATTAACCCAGCAATTGGAAACGTATGCAGACGGTAGGACCGTACTGGATGCTTACTTTTGGACAGCTCGTTCCACTTTAGCGATAATACTGGAAACAGTTCTCGACACCAAATATAATCCAGACAACATAGATCATGCAACCTACGTGCATAATATTCTTGAGTAAGATGGATTTCATTTTAATCTTTTCATTTATCTCAATTCAATTATCGAAATTATTAATTGATGAATAATTTGTAGAGTTATGCATTTATTTGGTGAACGGGCAGTAAGACCTTGGCTGCATGATGAATTCTTCTACAAATTACTCGATAGTAAAAACTATAGGAAGTCACAACGATTATTAAAATCTGTTAATGGATTCTATGATAAAATTCTGCAACGCAAGCGGCAAGCATACGAACTTGAAAGGACAACTTCTCTTGAAAACGTAAGCGAGAACGGCACCCATGATAACGATGTGTTGGGTTTCGAACGACAACGTAAGCCTTTTATTGATATATTGTTACGCTCGCAAATCAACGGCAAGCCCCTAACCGATCAAGATATACGCGATGAGATTTATACAATTATAATCGCTGGTAATGATACAACGGCCAATGCTTTAGCCTATACCATGTACGCGGTATCGTGTTACCCGGAAATACAGCAAAGAATTTATCAAGAAATTTCACAAGTCTTGGGCAATTTTCATCAACGTTCATTGACAATGAATGACTTAAATGCAATGAAATATCTCGAGTCTACCATAAAAGAAGCCATGCGTATGTATACTATAGTCCCGATATTTGCTCGCTATCTCTTTGAAGATATTAAAATTGGTATGATTCGTATGATTAATGAAGAGCTCAGTCATCTCTGATTAATTTTGATTTGTTTATTTCCTTTCTATTATGGCAGACGATAAAGTTATACCGGCCGGTACCACAGTCGCCTTCCTATCGTTATTCAGCAACAGTGATCCCGAAATATTCTCCAGGCCAGACGAATTCTTGCCTGAACGCTTTCTTAATGACAGCTTGAATACGCTTGATCCCTTTGCTTTTATACCTTTTGCTGGTGGTCCTCGCAAATGCATCGGCGGACGATTTGCTTTGCTACAAATGAAATGTACAATGATTCGATTGCTATTGCATTACGAATTTATACGTTTGGGTAGTGAACCAAGGCCCGCCTACTCAGTTGGTATGCATTCCAAAAATGGCATAAATATCGGTTTGAAAAAAAGAAAAAAGCCAATAAACAAATAAGATATAGAACAATCTACAATTATTCAGCAATTTATTTTATCAATGAAAAATGGGCGAATAAGCGTATGGGCCATGATACCATATCTGCTATAGGCTTTCAATACAATCGTATACTTTGTCCTGCAATTGATTTTATTCTGGATGCAATATTCACCCTCTCCGTGACGATGGGTGAGGGGGAGCATACATATATATCTATGTATATATGCATTCGGAAGATCAAAAAGCGCATTCAGAGATACTGTTAATTATTTAATTAGGTCATATTGAAAATTCTCCGTGGATTTTTTCACGGGATGACATTGATACCTTCATAGCGGACGACACTCACCCGATTCGTCTGAAACGGAAAGGTGACATTTCACTTTATTTTTTTAATTTTTTTAAAAGGTTATATTACATTTGAAAATGAGTGAAATATGTGAAGAATGTAATGCAAAAAAAAAAAGAAAATTTGTGAATTGTGTGCGGGGAGAATGCTGCGAACGCAAGCATAGTTTACTCGATTCCGTTTCGAAAATTTCGATCTCAAAGATGCATCTCGGAGCTTGGACTGGCACGCAAGCAAGCACGCAGGAAATAACGAAGGCACTAAGCGTCAATCACATGACAGCCGAAAAACTACAAAAAGACGCTCAATACAGCGGAGACTTTACTTGATTGATGTGTCAGTCAGGCTTACTTTTCTTTGGTGCGTCTATCGTCATTTGAAATTTTATAATGCCTCCATAACTTAGATCGTGTAATTCATATTTACAAACATTCTCATTAAGAGATTTGAGATGTTTTGCAGTGTGAAAAGCAAATGAGGTCTTATGACGGAATGCTAAGCGCGACTTGCGGTTTTTGCATCAATAAACAAATTAAATGCAAATAAAACCTCATTATTCGAGCAATGTCGATCATTAAACACTATACCCTATAGCGATTCGCATGGTAAAATATTGTACCTTGTTGCTTGCTAATATATGCAGTAGTGTGGACATGATTCAAACCTAGTAAAGTCAATTTTTTTGTCAAGGATTTTACGCTTCTTAATTCATTTGCATCCTAAAGTACTATATAATAGGTTTTATTGCCATATAAAGTCCTAGTTTTCAGAAGAACCCGTGTCATATCATATGAGGTTCAAAAACATTGATTTACGTGACTCTAATCCGGTAAAGTGAATTTTTAGATTAAAATTGCCATTGTGAATCAATTTTTACCAAAAAAAAAAAATATTAAAAATTAAATTGTTATATGAAAACTTACTTTTCGTAGCAACAGCCGTATGCAAGGTGCTTCAAAAAATTCGACCATTCGATTCAAAGCCTTTACATTATTTTAGAATTTTGAAATACTGTTACTCTGCGATTTTTGTCGAAATAATTTTGCAATTGTGAATATTTCTCGTATAATGACATTTTTCAAACAAAACCGTTATATGGGGTTATGACTGGTCATAGAAATGTCAAAGATCCAATCCATTTTCAGTAGAGTTCAATTTAGAAAAAAATGATGCATCGAATGGTATAACAAAAGATGGGCCTATCCTATCCTCAGCTGCCTCATGTCACCCACACCCAACAGGCAGTGTATGGTATGCAAGTGTAACAATCAATTTTTTTTTTCAATTTAAAAAACAAATAAAATCAATTGTACATATATATATATATATGCATACATATATATATATATATATATATATTTTTTTTTTTTTAGAGCAACTCTTGTTTTCTTTGTTTGCAAGTAATAAAATCGAATTTAAAGCACGTTATCGACAACAGCGTATTGACTTTCATTGCATGAATCGGTGACCCAGAACCAATAATCGAAAATTGTATTATACATCTCTATAATACAATAGTTGTTATGAATTGATTCATACGCCCGGATAATTTAATAAGTTAACCTAAAATATATAAAAGTAAGCGCCATATGTATACTTTCAAGGGATGAAGATTATTACCTCCGGAAGCCTCAATACGTATTCTTAGATTACCTATCTTTCAATCATTTTCGCTAATGGGAGAATGTTTATCACAACTACTAAAAGCATTCAATTGAATGCCTGTTGGTATATATTTCTTACATCTAGCTAGAAATATTGAAAGCAAAAGTTATTCACTATGATAGCTAATATAAGAATCCTAATAGTATCGGATGTAGTAACAATTCAATTTTAAATACACTCATGTAAGGCCATATTGCGTTTGTTCCAATTAAAAGCGATTCTAAAACGAGCGCGAACTAGCGAATAGATTATGCAAAATTTATTTATTTTATAATTTTTCACTTTAATCGCTTCACATCCAGTACCAATATATACGTTAACCTAAACAGAATTGAAAAGCATTTAGAAAAAAAAAAAAAAACAAAAAAAAAACATTAAAATCAAAGTATCCTTGTGCTGTGAAAGCGAAATTATTATTATGTACTGGACCGCAATAATTCTAATAGTATCAGCGATCCTTTTGTGGGATTTTATTCAAAAGAAACGCGTCAGAAATCATTTTCGTAAACATGGGATACCAGGTCCAAAACTAACTCTACCATTAATCGGTGACGTTCTAACGACTATGGGCACCGATCCCACAAGTAATTTGCTTGGGCTGCTTTTAAAGGCACCTCATTAAATAACTTATCAATATTCCGTTTTGGGTCGCTGGCCGCTTAATTTATTCTATCTAGGTGCGGGCGCCCATAAGGACTTAATTAAAAAAAAATTTTTTCTTATGAATTTTAGTTTTAACAATGAAATTCATTTAGAAAATAATTCCGAACTAATTGCTAAAATAAAAGGCGCATCTATGTCAAGTCGTGCCTTAAACTTTATATATTCTGCGTAAAAAAAGGGACAACAAACCACGTCCGCACACGTCAAATAACGCGCCCGGGCATGAAATGCTAATCGCATTTTTAATTTAAACAGATTCTCAACAATTATAAAATTGTGTGTGTGTGTTTGTGTGCGTGCGTTTGTGTGTGGTTATCGTATTTTACCAATTTTTGCTTTAATCCATTAGAACTTATCGCCGTTTTGACAATAAGGATTTAGCAGTCTTGTATACGACGACATACGTTATTTTTTCTCTTTTTTTGCTTGTAAGACCGATCGATAAACATGTGTGGTAGTGAAGCGTTTAACAATCTATTATAACATTAGCTCTATTTGATTATTTTTTCCTCTAAAATAATTCCACTCATTGTCTTCTCATCAGTTTTGCTTTTTATGCCCTATACCGCTTGTTCTACAAGGTATACTAAGTTACTATGTATATTAAGACGTATGCAACATGTAGAAGGGCTTAGGATAAATCCAAATTTTATTATACCGATCGATTCAGAATCAGAATCGGAATTGATCTAACCCTGTTTGTCCGTCTGTCCATCTGATGTCTGCCCATGTAAATTTGTGTTCAAGCTGCAGGTCGCAATTGCGCACATATTTTGATGAAATTTAGAACAGTGCCGTGCTTTGACTCAAGAACGAACGCTATCGAAAACGATTGGGATCGGTCCACTTCTTTAACCACTCCCCATTTAGCGCTAGGTGCAAAAAAATGCAATTTCTATAATTTCTCGACAAAAGTGGCTAAGTCAGAGTATTTGGGCATTTTAAATTTGGTACGAAAACTGTCGACCTTCATGATGAAAATGAGCTCATAATGATAATTTAAAATAAAAAAAATTAATTTTGCTTAATTTGGTCAATTTTTTGGACCCTACTCTATACATATATTTTCACTGAAAATTTATCCTCTGTAGGAGGGAAAAGACTAAATTTTAACATACTATGATGAATACTTAACCCATAATAGGAATTTAGCTAAAAAAAGATCGCTATACCAAATTGTGAGCATCTATGCCTGTTTTTAGATCCTACCCTACCCGAAAATATTTGTTTCGCAGGACAGACAAGTTTCAGTTTTAATATTTCATGATGGAAATTGATTCATAATACCAGTTCGATATAAAAATGAACTATGCTGAATTTTCAATGCGTACCCAGTACCTTAGTCAATGCGGTGTAAGGTATTTATCAGTCGGTCGAGCACGATGAAAATGTTTTTACTTCTTTTATTTAACTTTCACTTTTGCGCCCCGAAGTTTCTCTCTTTAGCAATTAATCTCTTATTAGTCAAGCAGTTTTTGCTTTCTAATTTTACATACTTTTAGGATGAAAATTTATTTTCGTAGTGTTTGCTAATCTATATTAAACAAGCGCGTATTGCTTACATGCTAAAAGCATTTGTAAATCTTCTTCTTATCGCTTTATATCGGCCAAGCAAACTGATATTTCCGCTTTGATGTTTTCTTTATAACTTTCTACTGGCATTTCCTTCTGTAAATGTTTTTCTTTACCCATATCCATTACTTTTCACCACTGATGTAAACGAGTTCTGCCCAAGTCTCTTCGTAAAGTTACTGATATGTCTTGTCAGATCTTTATTGTCGAAATATCTAGTGCTTCAAATGGGCGCAATGTTCCATCTCTGTCGGGTCGTTATGCCTGCGAGGTTTACATTGACTTGGCATTATCAAGCATTGTAGGTGTTGCTAGGACAGTTGTTGCTTCCGATTCATGTACAATAACAGCTTCACATCTAGTTATAATAGAAGTTGGAGATTTGTTCTTCATATATTAATGACATCAAGGATTACGTAGCTTGTAAATATCTAGAAGTTAATCTCACCAATCTTGGCGGCGTTGCCAAATTCAAGCCAAATTCGCCACAGGGATATTTTATCTTTCAATATTCCGCCCTATTTCCTTTCCATTGAATTATTGTAAAAGAACAAAAAAAATCTTGCAAACAAATTGTTATGGTCGCTTGGGATTTATTGAAAATATGTATTCCCAAGTCTGGGACCAAACTTAATAACAATCAGTTTAGTCTAAAAAGGATTAATAACTTCCATTCATATCCGTAATCAAAACGGTATTGAGAAAATTGAGCATTGAACTGCACAGTTTTTATACAAATATCTCAGACTTTTTATTTCCAAATAATTGTGTTTTCAGAAACATGGCTTAAACCAAATATTTCCAATATGGTATTATTGTGCGGTGATTACAGATCTAATAGAAATAGAAGACTTGGTTGTGTTATCATTCACCCTGTGGTGCTGTCTTTTTCTCCTCCTATTCGGAATATTTGCGGAGAATTTTTAGATATAGAAATTATTTTACCGTACATCGCTAGCGAATGTATGCAATACTCAGAAAGACCTGCCATTACTCCACGTGTTATTATTGTTATGTGTTCAATACATAGGACCACGGATGAAATACTTTATTAAAAGCATATCATATCGCATTACTCTTGCGGTTATTCCCCATACAAGGCCGCATCTGAAAAAGACTTTATATGCAAAAACTTCCGATTATTAAAGCGTTTCGAAAAAATAGTTTAGAAATTAGGTTCTTGCTATTTAAAATTAATGAGGGAGATGTGAAAATATACCTTAGAAATGAGCTATAATGCTTGATGCCTTAAGTAGCGCATTTACCGGTCGGTTATGTCGCCTATTTTATTTTTTCAATAAAAAAAAAAAATAAAAATAAAAAATTGATGAGAAATTGTAGGTGTGTGTGTTATATTTTATAGTAGACAGAGTTGCATTCTAAAGAAGGTTACACTATCTTTTATTAATATAAGTAAACATATTCAAAAAATTTTAACTTTGGACTACAGTAGGCGAAGTGGTGTAGAATACTTAATGGGCAATCTCATGCCTAGCCTCTGTTGTGCTTTTATATATGCCGTGATGTTTTTTTTCGATTCTCTCTAACTTTTCATTCTTTCTCAATTTCAGATGTTTTTAAAGTATTGGGCTATTTTCGGGAAAAGTACGGTAAAGTTTACCATGTTTGGGTTTTTAATTTCTCATTTGTTCTCGTACAAAATGTTGAATACTTGGAGCCGATCTTGAGCAGTCCACGCTTAATAAAGAAAAATTTTATATATGACATGCTACGAGGATGGCTCAACGATGGCCTATTATTGAGTAGCGGTTCAAAA